AAAAAACATTTTATCCCCTTCTTCCCACAAATATTTCGCCCTTGACTATACACAGGTGCTGTTAAATGAATAAAGTAAACATACTGAAAAACATAGATAAGCAATATTCATTTATTATTTTCAGTGAAAAAAAATGGTGGACATTCTTAAACAAAGGAAGGGATGTTTAATTTTATACTGTCACCGTGAGAAAAATTTACTGCAAAACCTAATTTTAAAATAATTTTTTGGGGGACAGTATAGCAATGTTCTATGTTTGTTACTGAATGAAAGGACTACTAGCTGGTTATTTTATTAGGAGATCCTTAATGTTTTACTTCTGAAGTGATCTGATTTATTCCACATAAGGGAAAATATATATATACTTCTGGAAATTTGTAGTGAATTTCAGGGCAAAGTCACTTCCAACAAAACTGATTTAGCAATACCCACAGGTCATAGCATGAACACTATCAAAGGCAAGGCAATTGCCTTTCAAACTCTTGGCAAGAATTTCATTCAGGATACAGTGAAAGCTTCAGAGCACTAAGTGTACCAAGTTGACTGCTAAAGGAAACAATCAGTAATTATCAGTTGGATCTCAAAAATTAAGAATTCACAGATCTTCAAGTCAACACATGAAGTTCAGTCATTTGGGGGATTAATGCCACGGTTACTCACTAATAAGTGCAGTGTCTGTCACGTGTCACTAAGTCACTGAAAGATCATCAAATCAATGTAAAATAACAATGACTTTTTTTTTTTCAAGTCTTGTATTTAAACCTATTTCTAAGTAGAGTAAACACTACAGAAAGTTAATTTAAGGGCCTTTGACCAAGAAAGCCCCAAGTTTTGATAGCAAAGTTTTGGGGGGTTTGAGGGGCTTGGTTTTTTTTTATTTTAGCTTCAGTGGTTGCAGCTTGAAGATTACATGCATATAATTTAAAAGTTTAACTAACAAAAAAGGTGATAGCAGATTTTATACCTTTTCCCTCACATGCCTTTTAGCTCTCTAGGTCAAACTTTTTACCTTTCAAAGGGAAAATAATTTTGACCATTTCTAAAAAGATGATCTATCCCATAGAGCAAAATCCACTTTCCAAAAGGACAGGCATTTATTTCACATACATATATAAAGCAATTTTAATATTATATAAATGCTTATTTATCCATCTATACACCTATCTAATTTTGTTACAAATAGGTTTATGAGTCTTGGAAAGAAACACCACATAGGAAAGGACATCTATATGAAAGCATTGTGGCCATGAAAGCATGCTCCACAAACATGGCATTTCTGAAACATCTGAAAAAACCTCCACGACATCACAGCACAGCTTCTCCTACCCTCAAGCTCTTCATATTACAAAATTAATAAGCTTCTCTAGGCAAGCCTTGTGAAGTACTCAGTAAACTGTGCTCCTTCTTGCAGACTCTCAGAAAACAAAAACAATGTCTGGAAAAAGTAGTCTTGATAAATATTTCTACCTACCAATTTTTAAGTTCAGGCCAACTGAAACATTTCTATGGATGATAAATACATTTTGTTAAAACATCAACATGCCTTTTGTCACACTATACAATGAAGTTTTTTTTTAATCTATCACATTAAAAAGAAAAAGTGCATTGATCTGGTTTGGTTTGGGGTTTTTTATGCTCAGAAATAGAAAGAGCACAAAGCATTAAGACAATTAGGCAAAATGATGGATTTGAACACATGGTGCATTTTACTGTTAACATGTATGCATAACTTCAATTAATGTCAGTATGAGTTACGTGTACACTGCTAAAATAATATGACCATAACAAAAATATTTCCTCCTATAGTAATATTTTTAATAGACATTTGGGAAAAAAAAAAAAAAATCACATTTAGAAAGAAACATGCAAATTCAAACCCTTCTCCAAACTTAACACATTGGAATTCTTTAAAATAAATCTTATTTTTTTATATGTTGGCATCAATTTGAGAATAACTTGATTTTTATCTCCTTCCATCAAATTGCCTTTCATTTAATAGGTACTTATCTAGTTTCCAGTTCAAAAAGATGAACCAGATAATGAACAAGATTAAGTTGCTATCCATTTTTATTGTAAACTTCCTTAAATAACTGAATGTATATGGGAACACGTAATGACAACTGAAGAGTTATCTAAAACTGACAAATTATTGTAGCCAGTAAATTAAGATAGATCTTGGCAACATCAACCAGATGCACCTAGAATGCAAAGTTATGTTTGGAACTTGAACATAATATAAGCAAAGGAAATCTGGAAGCTAGCAGCCAAAGCCTGTAATCATTCAAAATTAGATTAAAAAAATTCTAAATAGAAGTTATGGTCAATGCTGCCAATTAATAAATTATTTTAAAATATCAGAGAGAAGACACACTATTCTAGTGTATTACTACAACACAGAATTATCATTATTTTGTCAGCGGATGTCTGGGTCTTAGCTAGCTTCTACAATCTGTTTTTTGAGAATACCTTATTCATAAAAAAATAAATGCCATATTTAGGATATTTTGTTGTAATGCAGCAGTTTATAAAGTTTGTCATACACTTATTTCAGTAAGGAATTTCAAAAATTAAACTACTGTAATGAAATATCTGAATTATTCCTAAAAGATGTTTACTAATACATGTGTATCTACTAACGTAGTTTAGTGTTATCTTATTAAATGAAATAACCTGAAATATGATCATGTGAGTTTCTGTCATTATTCATTCTGTTTAGTAATTTTGTGCTGTGATTTTACATATATTGTTTTGTTCATTAACTCTATTTCCTATCTCTTAGACCAGCAAAACCATCCTGACGTCCAACAGCCGTATTCATTTCTTTCCATTGCACCACAAGCAATAGAAGTTCTTTCTGATTCCATCTCCAATATGAACTGAGCCTTGTAACATATTTCACAGAAACTAAAGTCAGGACAGAATTAAAAATAGGACTAGAATATATGGGTTTCTTAGCAAAAGTGGGTTCTAATTCTAAGTTATTAGCTGAATCACAAATTTCGGGGGAGTGATTTGTATATAGTTAGAGCATTAGACTGTTACAGGCAACAACACAGGGCTAGGTAGCTGGGACAGCTACCTAGTAGAGGATTAGGTAACCCCCTGTGGCCTAAGTAGGAAGTAGTATGCATTATAATTAATTGTATTTTATTATTACAGGTTAGAAGGGTTTTGTTATTCACTTAGATTTTCAGAGGAATTTTAGGTCACTTCAGGATTAAAAACAAAAACTGTATATGAACAATTGCTTCTCCCGAGGGTGGAAAAAACTGTAATGGCAGAAAAGTTTACACGCTTATACAGCTAACAAAGTAGCAATTAAGAAGTCAAAGGCAAAAAAGAAAAATAAGAAAGAAGTCTATTACAAAAGAAACCACACTAATGACTACTGAAAGAAAACAAAAAACCTACTCACATTTAACCAGGCATTTTTACTTATGTAATTTTTTATTGCTAATTTAAAATTTGCTTCTAACTTTACTATTTCACTTTCAAAATTTATACTATAAAAACACACTATATGTTTATATCTCATTTTAAATTCTGAACTATTACTAACTTGGACCTTTGATACTGCGGCTTTCACGACTATTACCATCCACTCAGTTCTTTACTCATAAAATAGAACAGCTTTTCTCAATAGAAAAGTCAAACTTTACCAGTTTTTCCCAACTTCACTCCCCAGACCGGAGATACACACCTTACACAGTTCTGTGAGGTTTGGTGTACCCAACCGAAAAAGTCACAATATCAAAATAAAAGATACTGCTTTTTTTCCCTATGTTGCTAAATAATTGATAATTGCGATGAAAAAAAAAAATCTCACCATTAGGACGAAAACCAAGCATGCACTCAACAGACCAAAGCACTATACAGAAAATAGAAGACTGGATGAAATATACTGGTGCTGAACATCTCAGTTATCATAGGTGAATTAATATGTACATGTAAAAGAAAATCAGAAAATAAAAAAATTTATCTATTATAGAATATAATATCACATACTATAATTCATATGTGCTCCCATTTTTCTATATAGATATAGACCTCATTAAAGTCAAAGCAGAAGTTCTTTTGATTTCACTGGAAACATTCATGTTTATATGACAGTATTTCTGCACCTATATTACATGGCAGCCATTCTTAAAACCTACTTTTATAAAACTCTAGAGTAAGCATACGTCTCCATTTCCACTTTGTCTCATTTACAGCAACATTATTAAAACCACTTTTTCTGATTATTTACCTACCTTTAAAATGTAAGGATATCTACAACAACTTACCTGAAATTATACATGGTGTAAGTGTTTTGTTTTTTTTTCCCTCCCTCAATAGGACAGTTTCAAAATTACAACTGTGAATTTTCTTCGCTGAATGTTAACTACACACTTAGCAGCCTAGCCAAGTCATCATAGGTTCATGCTTTTTTTGCCAATTTTAAAGATCATGTCAGAGCTTTAACATCCCATAATTACAGATATTTTCCTTGATTGTGGGTAGGAAGTTAGATTTAAATTATAAGTCTATCTTCCTTTTTCATTCTGCACACATACACATAGTGATAACATGTATGCAAGTAGGTTTTTGTTGTTTGGGTTTTTTTTTTTTTAACCAATTCAATGCAATAAACTTTGCACCGTCCATATAAAGTTAAGAAAACCTCTTCCTTGAATCTGAGACTAACAGAAAATCCAACATAGAATTCCCACTGAAAGATGGGGCTTTAGACCCACAATTTCCCACAGAGGTTATATGTGCTGATGTAACAAAAAACAACTTTCAAAAAATTCTTCTCATGTCAATAGTTGAGTACTTCTAAATGAAGACTTTCACATTTCCATATTTTAAAAGGATTTTAGCAGTCTTACAACTATTAGAAGTCTTCAAATTCAGACTTAAATATATACATAGAAAAAAACACAGGAAAAAAAAAATCTCTCTTATGGCAAGAAAGTAGTAATTTTAATTTTCCTATGAATTATAGAAATCAATGTACTTACTTCATTTCCAGAATTTCTTCAAGCTGTTTTCTTCGCTCTATTCTCAGGTTAGCCAGGTGTGCTTCTTTTTCAGCCAAAGACTGCTGTGTTGAGGCAAGACGGGCTTTGGTAGAATCTAATTCTTGTCTAGTCTTTTCCAGTGCATTCATCAGCTCTTCCACCTAAGAGACAGAACTTTTTAAACTCCATATTCTTTAAAATAAGAAAGTCTTAACTCTATATAAATATGGAAAAAAAAAACCACAAATGGAATTATTTTAACTAAATATCTGTTCAAATCTATTCCTATCTTAACTGTTTTAAACACTAACAAAAGTAGTCCTTAAATACCAAAAAATCTTATGCTTCCGTGTATCCATCAAGTAATAAGCAACATTTATACAAACAGAACTAACACACGATCACCAGAAACATATTTAACCTGGCCCACTGCCTCATACAGACACAATTTATAAATATTTTCTGCACCATGTATATTATTCAGCATGGTGGTAACTCATCATAATAGTAATTTCAGATGCAGATACATATTTTAATATAAGACCAGTCATGACAATCCATGTATTTTTCATTTTAAAAAATGCACACTCTTCTGTGCGGAACACATTGCCCAGGGAAGCCACAGACTCTCCAATTCTTGCGTATTTTCAGATCTTGACTGAATGAAGCCTGGAGAATCTGATCCAACTTCGAAGTTATCCCTGCTTTGAGCAGGGGTTTGGACTACTTTGCCTCTAGTGGTCCCTTCTAACCCAAATTATTGTATGATTCTGAACTTTAAATGTCTGTTACTGCTTTCATAACAACTGAGTGAGTTTTTTCATGACAACTGAGAATTTCTGAAATATGAAATGTAAGAAAGTGAGGGTGACCCCACTCCTTCTTTAGCACTGGCAAATGTCAACTGGATGTAGGATAAATTTCTTATTGCAGAAATTCAGAAAATCTTCATCTTTTCAGAAAATGAAAGGCAGAAGTAAAAAAGTGTATGACATGGTCCATCACATTATTTAAAGAACACACTAAAGAATGAAGACTACATATACCACCTGTCTGGCAGCAGGAAATTTACTTAAGGGGTAAATCATTATATTCTCAGAACCCAGAGGACCATGAATAGTAACCAGGACACCAGTACGACTTCTCCCTATTCAATTGTTAATTTACATTAAGAGCTGCAAGTAAACAGCTTTAATTCGGTTTTATGAGATATAATGATTTAAATAATGAATATGCTATTTCCTCTATCTGTTTTCTCACCTCCTTTGTCTAAATACTAATATTTTATAAATTGGTAACCACTTCCAGAAGAACACCTAACTAAAATGAAATGGGAGAGAGGACATATTCCAGTTGTTCACATCATGCAAGCCATTGAAAAGTGTTCACTTTTGCTGGTGTATTGAAAAGTCTGATAATATTCCACTGTGGTCATATAATCAGTGTGGCTACAGAGAAAATAAGATGTTTTCTCCCAAGTTCATGCTTAATTGTTGTTATCTAAATCCTACTAGTATGCGATCAATGTTTATAAGCCACATATTTTTGTTTCAATTTGAACACACATTGCCTCCTATATAATGGGTTCAATAAAGCAAAATTAATAATACAGTCCTCCAAGTTATAATGAGGACTCACACCCTGTTTGAGAATGATGCACTAGTTAGTTACCCCTTCTACACCAGCTGCATCTGCATCTTCATAAAACACCATAACAAGATCAATGGAATACTGATACCCTTCAGCGTGCAAAAAGTTATATTTCATGAACGCAGAATCAGAATTACCAATAGCAGAGAAACTACTGATTTTCAACTTCCCACTCAGAAAGTAAACCCAGTGTAATACTGATATAAACAAAATAGGAAGAAGTGCAAATTCTGCAGTAGAGTCTGTGCAGGTGCAAGGTGCCACTAATGTAAACTGTGAAGAATAATGAAGGATTTAGATATCTTTGTAAAATAACTATCTAGTGAACTCTTACAGTAGAAACAGTGAAGAGAAAATATACGTGAGGGAAATTAAAAAAACAAACAAACAAACAAAAAAACAACTAAAAGCTGGATTTGCACTTTAATCCCGGGGCGGGGGGGGGTGGGGGAATGATAATAATAAAAATAATTTTAAAAAAACAAACACCAAAACCACAACAAACAGGAGACAGACAGATCACATTTCTTTAAAAATATACTCTCCACAAGTACAAGCCTCAACTACTAAAACATAATATGATATTTCTACCTGCTTTCTTGGGTTATTTCTTAGGCTCATGCTTGTGGTTTTTAAAAACTGCATATAGTTTCTGCTGAGCCTCCAATCTGTTAGTTAATTCCAGGCAACACACATTAATGGAAACAGTAGTAAGGACTCCAGACTGCAAAGTCATTCATTCATAGAGACTCTTGCTCTGAGACAGTATCTTTAAACACCAAGCACTCCAAACTTGCAGATTTGTTTGGCAGATGAGAACATAAAAAGGCAGAATAGCAGATACTTTTGTATCACTGCACTCCTTGTTCCTACAGTTCCAGCTCACTTTAGTATCCAACCTGTTGACTGACTGAATGCTCATCTAAGTTCTGATATATCACATCAGTTACATTTTAGAACATTTAAGGGAATTAAAGACCTGTGGAAAACAAAACTGTGGATTTGTTAATGTATATTAATAACATACTCTTCTATTACCAGACAAAAGAGATCAAAGTTTAAAAGAAAGGGAAAAAACCTTTAAAAATTCAAATATGAAAACTTTTTCAAACCACAAATCGTTAACACATGTAGACTTGAAAGTTATACTTTCATTTACACTTTCAACACAATATTTGCCAGCTAGTTCTTCCTTTGCTTTTTGAATAAGAACCCAAGTTCAGAGTTGTATGTTTTCCTAGTTAACTGTCTCACCACCAGCAGAATTCAACTGTCAGGCAAGTGCAGAAGAAACTGATTTTTTTTTTTTTTTTTCAAATCAAATACCATCAAATGTATAATGTGTGAATTCTGAAGTTGCACACACAATCATCTCAGTGTGTTTATTATCTGTGGCAGATATGTTACAATGGAAAATTAAACACTGAAGGCAGTATTATCTAAATATAAAAGTCGGGGGGGGGGGGGAAAGTATTGTTAAACATAAACCAAATTCTTCATGTAAGAACACATTCTCTTCTTTATTAAAATTAAAATGATAGCTGAAAAAATTCAAGGTTAAAATTTTAAGTTAATGTTGATTTACTACCTCTTAGTCCTACTGTAAGAAACTGAAATAAATCTAGTCCTACTAGTGAAAAATTTCAGCTTTCTGACCTAAGGCAAATACTTCTTTTGCTGCATTTAGGGGCACTTCATCTAGAGAATAATGTGCGTCCAGGAGTCCTTTCCTCTCCAAAGCACCGGTATGGTACTGCCATCCAGTTTCTTTTTAGTTTTTCCACTCTCTGGATATTGAGCAGAGTCCCCTGTTGAAGCATCACTTCAATAATGACCAAGTAACACACTGACAAACTTTTCTTCTCATTGTACAAAGGATCAAGATAACGTTTGTATTCACGACCACATTTGTTACCTGTAGTATCTCATCCAGCCATTTCCCCCGGCAAACTGAAGCACCTATTCTACCTCAATTATCATGTATGCATCCTTAAGACCTTTATTTACACAAAAGTACAGAAAAGTCTCTCAAAGCACTCATTGTTGGTCCCTAACATGTTCCAACAGTCTGGCCACGCCTCCCACACCCGCATGCGCTGAGGCCAGGCCGGCCTGTCACTGCACACATAGCACCAACGTTCTCTTGGGGCCGCCCCTCTTGCGTGGAGGCCAGAAAGCCTGCGTGTGGTTTTTCCCCTCTGTATCTCTTAGTCTAACTACTTCTGATTGCAAACTTTGCCATTCTAGATACCAGCTGAAGAATCAGTAAGAATTCGTGTTTTGAAAGAGTTTACTGTGAGAACCTCATTGAATACAAAGCTCCTTGCTCTAAGTACTCTATGACCTGAATACATTAACTAGGTTTTCTTCCCCTTTGAAAGACAATGGCCTCATTTTATCCTTTTGCATTTTCCAATAAAAGCCATTCTTTTTTCATATTTGCAGAAAGCCTAACTGACCTCAGCACTTCAAGTATTTTATTAAAATCAGCAGTAGAATTAAGTTTACATTTCGAATGGCATAAAACCAGCAAACTAAACTATAATTCTTTCTTAGTCTGAGTCTATTATAAATGAACACTTTCTACTTCTTCTATAGCTTCACATTTTCAAGTCCCGCCAGCAGTGTTTCACACCAAGAAAAGAAAAAGAAGTGAATGTGGCTGAAGTTTACATCTGCGCTACCAGAATCTGCAAATTAAAGAAGGCTAAAGTTCGAATGAATGACAGTTTATTAAAAATGCCCTGGAGCATTCTTAATTCCAGATTGGATTCGGCTCAGCACAACTCATGCTAACATTACACTGTTCCCCTTTGTGGTAATAAGGAGGCGGAGGGACAATTGCATGTTTTCTCAGTTCAAGTATAATATATTTCTGCAGGATGACAAAGAGCTGGCCACTTTCCAGCAATCAAGGTTAGTATTATTAGCATTACTATCTTTAAAGGGTTAGCACTTCATTTGAGCAAAGATATCAGTGATAAATACAAGAGTTTGGGATTTGCTTAATTTTTCAAGTATCAGCAGCTAAACAAAAACTCCACACCTACTGTAATTTTAATCCTAATCTTGTGTTAGTATGTACAGATCATTTATGAATTTTACACAGTAAAATAAAATAAATAAATTCTATTTACTTATATATTCTTCACTTTTCTTTAATACAACAATATTAACCATTATAGATAATTCAAAAAAAAAAAAAGAACCAAAAAGGTTTAACAAACTATTACATTCATCCAGTACAGGTTTGTGAGCTGCATTTTTATAAGACGTCAATCAGTATAAAAATCCAGTCAGTTGTTTTCAAAGGTGCTTTCTTTTTGTCCATTTGTTATAAGGAAACACCTTTTTTTTTTTTTTTTTTTGCGAAGTTGCATACTATATAAATTTCGGTTACCTCCAGTTCTGTGAAGATTAATTTAATAAAATCTACATTTGGGGGTTTTCCCCATGACTAAGCATGAGATTGTGAAAAGGAAAGATTGTATTCCTTAAGTCTTCTATGTGT